TGAGATCCTGATAGTGAAAGCCGAGGAAGAGACCGTACAGGTATCAGTGGTGACGACCCGATCGAAGGCTAGATCGGGGTACGTACTGGATCTGATCCAGGCTCTCTACGGGAGGAAGTCGTGAGGGAGCTACGGATCGAGCGGATCCGACAAGCGCAGAACGAGGAGTCGTGGATCATGGGCTTGAAGAAGTATCTAATCGGGGAAATCCGGGATCTGACACAATAAGAGGCTAGAATGTTCGGATCCATTACTATGAACTACGAAGGGGATCAGCTGGATCTATTCTTCTATTGTCCGACATCTAAGGAAGCGGCCGCGGATCGAGATAAGCTGATGCGACTAGTGATACCGGAGACGCTTCAGCAGGACATTCTACACTATCACACGGGTCTACAAGGCGGTCACCAAGGGGTTGGTCGCACCTATGACCGGATCCGCGATCACTTCCACTGGAGGGGCCTGTACAAGAGTGTACAACGATACGTGGGGGAATGCGTCGACTGTGAGACAGGCAAAGGAAGACCTTGGATCCAGGGCGAGTCGCCGGGTAACCTTCAGGCAACGTATCCATTTCAGATCTTTGCCATGGATCACATACCCTCGCTGCCTAGATCCTTCAACGGTAACACCGAATTGCTGATTTTCGTGGATCTATTCTCAGGATTGCCAAAGCTAGTGCCTCCAGATCTGCTCAAACGATCGCCGAGACGTATGAAGAATGTGGCTTTCGGCGATTTGGCGCGAGCGAGGTGATCCGACATGATCGGGAGCCCGTTATGTCTGATTTCTTTAAGTCGTTCAACAGGATCCTGGGACAACGTCAACGGGCCACTATGGCATATAGACCCCAAGCTAATGGATCGGCGGAACGTATGGTACAGACAACTACCAGGGCTCTTAAGATGTACGTGGAGGATCTGGATCAACGAGATTGGGATGAGTATGCCGAACGACTCACCTTCGCGATCAATACCGCAAGGGATCGGATCCGAGGCGAGACACCTTTCTATATGATAATTGGCTGGGATCCTAGATCTACTCTCGAAGCCGTGATCCCAGTGGGAAGCGCTCGCAAGCATGATCAAGATCCCAGAAAGTGGCGGTATCGGATGCAGAAATATTATCAGCAAGCCAGGGAACAGG